GTAAATGCCAATATACATCAATATGCTTCCAGCGATCCTCTTCCAAATGAATCCATACCTGGGCAACTTAAGTACTAAAATCTCGAAATCCAGAAGATGTGGCCAACTTAATATTTTATACTTTCTGAATCTGAAAGACCCCAGGTCTAGGAATATAGTACAAGTCTGGGAACGCTTCTTATTTATTTGTGTTTGTCATTTCTAATGTATCATTTGATGTGATGGGCATTTGGTGTGGTTTACTAATAAAAATGATAACACCCCCCAAATTACTGTTAACAGTGTTAAACTCTCAACAAGGAACTTCAGTGTACTCAGCTGTGGTGTGGTTTGTACCAGTAATCTTTACAATTTCTATATGAGCTACAATATGAGATATAGCTAATATCATACCAAACCCTCGTATTTGATTAACAACATCCATAAGAAAATAGAGTTTCTGCATCTTTTGCTTTTTTAAAATATTAACATAACACTAAGGTTAAAAAAAACCTTAAAAGATATAGATATGCCACAGAATTATATAGAAAGGTAAGGAAGGATATGTTGAAATTAATGAAGATACAGACTTCCTTTTATGTTTATTTTATATATTTATTTATTTGACTTGTATACCGCCACTCCAAATTTGGCTCGGAGCGGTTTACAGCAGTAGATTAAAACAATACAACCAACTTTAAAATACAATAAAAACGAGAACAGACATAGTCCTGAGTTATTCACCCATTGAAAGCTTGTCGGAAAAGAAAGATTTTACAGGCTTTCCGAAAAGCAAGTAGCTCTCGGATGGTTCAGGTTTCAACTGGCAAGGCATTCCATAAATAAGGGGCCACGATCGAGAAGGCTCTCTGCCTAGTAGAGGACAGATGGTAAGTCCAGATGTTGGGGACTTCAAGCAAATTTTGGTCTTCGGACCGAAGTAATCTCTGGGGTTGGTAGGGGGATAAGCGGGCCCTCAGGTACGCCAGCCCCGGACCATATAAGGCCTTAAAGGTTAGTACCAGCACCTTGAAAGTGATCCGGTACTCAATCGGAAGCCAGTGTTCAGACCTGCATTACATTTATTGACATAATAGTAACAACAACAACAACAACAACAATAATGATAATTTCAAAAACCTTTATTTATAATCCGCCCTGTCTCCCGGGGGAGACTCACTGTGGTTTCCAACAAAAGATGGCAAACATTCATTGCTATAATAAAAGAACAGAAACAAAACAAACCAAAACAGTAAACAAACACATCAATACAAACTTATAGTAACTAGCCAAAAAGGTAAGTAAATTAAACAGACATGGTAAATCTAGTACCTCTAATTGCCTGAGGCACTAAATTATGGTATGTATTTAATTTCAAATGGGTTACATAACAGTTTATTACCTCCCCTCGAACAGTGGAAGTGAAAACACTGGAACAAAAGGCTCCAGGATAATGGATTCATGGCTGTCAAACTTACTTTATACAAAGAATGCAGAGGCAGCTTTTCTGTTCTGCTGTGCAATGTCTAATAAGTGTTCTTTGTTTCAGCGGAAAGCCTAAAGGTTACGACCGCTTTCAGGGAGCCGGCAATGTATCAGGGAAGTGTATTGTAACATGGGGGCCAGGTGGGGGGCATACAAGGCCCATGTCCAATGAATGCTAGCTATATACTGTACCTCTATGGTGGAAATATACAGATCTGTAGGATACATTCTTGATCGAAGTGTTTTTCACATATAATAGTGACACCTCAAAATGTCATTGAGACTATGTAGTTCGGTATGGAGCTGAGGAGCCCTCTAATCAAGGTGAAAGGAAAGCGCAAAAGCTGGGTTGAGGTTAAACATAAAAAAACAAGATTATAGCAACAAGAATGACTGACAACTGGGAAATAGAGGGAGAAAACGTGGAGGCAGTGACAGACTTTGTATTTCTAGGTGCAAAGATTACTGCAGATGCAGACTACAGCCAGGAAATTAGGAGATGCTTACTTCTTGGGAGGAGAGCAATGACCACTCTCGATAAAATAGTGAAGAGTAGAGACATCACACTGGCAATGAAGATCCGCATAGTTAAAGCAATGGTATTCCCCGTAGTAACCTACGGATGTGAGAGCTGAACCATAGGGAAGTCTGAGCAAAGGAAGATAGATGCTTTTGAACTGTGGTGTTGGAGGAAAGTGCTGAGAGTGCCTTGGACTTGCTATTTTATAAGAGACATAATGTTACTATGCCATTGCATATAATAGGGTTCTAGAATCATATGCCAGTGAATACCAAGGACCCACTGTAGTTGAGCCTCCTTCAGAATTATCAATCAAAAGTGTAATTAATAAACAAATACTTAAATATATATATGAAGACAGCAAATGCTGGCTTGCTGTGACTTTTTAGGACTGTATAGCCATATACTAGAAGCATTCTCTCCTGACATTTCACCCACATCTGTGGCAGGCATCCTCAGGGGTTGTGAGGTCTGTTGGAAACTAGGCAAGTGAGGTTTATATATCTGTAGAATGTCCAGGATCTCTTGTCTGCTTGAGGCAAGTGTGAATGTTGCAGTTGGCCACCTTGATTAGCATTTAATGGCCTTGCAGCTTCAAAGCCTCTAAAATCAGGACAGAAAAAAAGAGGAAGGAGCCCCCAGTGGCACAAATGTGAGTAGATCAATAGGTACCGCTCCGGTGGGAAGGTAACGGTGCTCCACGCAGTCATGCTGGCCCCATGACCTTGGAGGTGTCTACAGATAGCGCTGGCTCTTCGACTTAGAAATGGAGATGAGAACCAACCCCCCAGAGTCGGACATGACTGGACTTAATGTCAGGGGACAACTTTTACCTTTACCTTTAAATAAAGAGGGGCACTTAACAACAGGGGGAATTCCTGACCTGAAACAATCAGGGCCAGCTTATTTATTTCGTATCAAAAGCTTTGCATAAATTAGTATAAAACTGATAAAAATAGAAAGAGCACAGACAGCTAAATATCTTTTAACCAAAAAAGGGCAACAGCAATGGCATTGTCTGTAGCCTCCAACAATTCATCCTCTGTACATGAGGCAGGGCATAGTGGACAAGCATACAGAAGCAGAGTTGTCTATTCCGCTCCACAGTTACACAAGGTGTGGGATTCTTTTAGGTAGTGCCATTTTGCCAGGTTGTCTTTTGATCTGCCAACTCCACTTCAGAGTCTGTTCAGGGACTTCCAAGTTGCCCATTCTTGGTTGGCCCCTGGAGGAAGACCCTTGTGGGGGCCATCCAGTTGGGATTTCCTGGTTTAGCTGCCCAGAGGGATACCCTTGCTGTTGCTGGGGGAACACCAAGAAGAGTGGTAGTTTTCATAAAGCTTTTCCTTCATTTGAGTCTACTGGAAGGAAGCTGGTAGCCATGTAGTGGGTGGCTTTCACAGTGTTCAACCTTATTTCTCTGCAACTATGAACAGCAATAAATACGTATAATGATAGAGCAAATGTAGGCAGGAAATTGTGAGTGTATACTTGCATGCATGTTATGTGTTCAGGAATATGTTCTGGTCCACAAGACAAAACATACCTGGAGGAAGACCCTTGTGGGGGGCCATCCAGTTGGGAATTTTCTTGGTTTAGCTGCCCGTGGGGGGGGGGGGGACCAGTTGGGATTTCCTGGTTTAGCTGCCCGTGGAGAGGGGGGGACGGGACATGACACCAGTTGGGAATTTCCTAGTTTAGCTGCCCATGGGGGTGGGGGGGACCAGTTGGGACTTTCCTGGTTTAGCTGCCCACTGGGGGCCATCCAGTTGGGACTTTCCTGGTTTAGCTTCCCAGAGGGATACCCTTGCTATTGACACAAACTTCGTTGGCTACAATTGCTGATAGTGTTGGCACATGCATGGGTTCAAATCCAGGCATCAATCAACCTGTCTGGAAGGGAGAAAGGGGACAGGATAGAGTGGAAAGGGACAAGTATAACAGTATGGTTATACAACACTTGATGTTGAGGGCCAGCTAACACCTCCCAACAAAGGAGGAAAAACGAAATGCAAAGATACAGAATGGGGGGTGTCTGGCTTGAGAGCAGTACGTGTGAAAAAGATCTTGGAGTCCTCATGGACAACAAGTTAAACATGAGCCAACAATGTGATGTGGCGGCAAAAAAAGCCAATGGGATTTTGGCCTGCATCAATAGTGTCTAGATCTAGGGAAGTAACGCTACCCCTCTATTCTGCTTTGGTTAGACCACACCTGGAATATTGTGTCAATTCTGGGCACCACAATTCAAGAGAGATATTGACAAGATATGATAGCCATGTATAAATATGTGAGAGGAAGCCACAGGGAGGAGGGAGCAAGCTTGTTTTCTGCTTCCTTGGAGACTAGGACGCGGAACAATGGCTTCAAACTACGAGAGAGGAGATTCCATCTGAACATTAGGAAGAACTTCCTGACTGTGAGAGCCATTCAGCAGTGGAACTCTCTGCCCCGGAGTGTGGTGGAGGCTCCTTCTTTGGAAGCTTTTAAGCAGAGGCTGGATGGCCATCTGTCAGGGGTGATTTGAATGCAATATTCCTGCTTCTTGGCAGGGGGTTGGACTGGATGGCCCATGAGGTCTCTTCCAACTCTTTGATTCTATGATTCCCCAGACAGGAAGCTGCCAGGCTTTGAATCAAGGCGGCCAATTGAAGCAAGAGACAAGAGTTCTTTCTCCCACCCTGAACATTCCACAAATATATAAACTCCTCTTGCCTGGGGGGGAAAAAGGAAGGAGTGTGGGGCTGTTGGGAATTGTGGGAGTTGGAGTCCCAAACTCCGGGAGGGCCCAAGTTTGCCCATGCTTGGTGTTTTGTGTCAGAGCAGCTACAGTTCCACTCACAAGCACGTTCAAAGTGAAGCGGCGTGTAGGCATGGGCCTCGTTTCCCTACTGACATGCGCAGAAGCGGCTTTGGTGGGAGAGGCGTGCCTGCTCACGCCAGCCCCGCCCCTTCGGCTCCCAAATCCGTCGACGCGGTGCACGCTGGGGCTCGTAGTTTCAGCACATCCGGGTATTTCCCCCCCCTTCCTTCTTGCCTTCAAGCCAAGAGCGAGACGAGGAAAACTCCGAAAGGGATTGATTGGGAAGGATTTGAAAATCCCCGCGACGGCTTGGCCCTCGTTCTCGCGAGATCTGCGCCTTGCTTTCTGCCTGCCGGTGAGGGGACCGCGAGGGGGGTTGGTTGGCTGGCTGGCTGAGGCGCGGAGGAAGAGGTTTTGCTGCGCAGGCGAGAGAGGAGCAAGCGGAGGACGGAGCAGGCCCGGCGGCGGCGGACAAGATGCCGCTTTCCTGACCCGAAGGCCGCGTCGTGAGGGCAGAGGCGCTGACAGCCCGCCTCGGGAGCAGGTAGGTGCTGCTAGGCCTCAGCGGGGTGGGTGGGTAGGAGGAGGGCGCGCTGGGCTTCGCCGAAACGGCTAGGCCCCACTTGGGGCAGCGCGAGGCCTGCCTCAAAGGGAGGCGCCGCAGAGGTGGTTATGTAAGTGCCTGCTGCTCCTGCCGCCGCGGAGGGCCCCACATGGCTCCGCCGGGCCTCCCTCCCTGCCCGCCTGCCTTTTTCTCCGCCTCTTCCTTCCACAGACTGGGGGAGCGGGCTACCTTTTGCCCTTTCCTTCCGCCTCGGGATAAGGCAGGGTCACCCGGGGAAGGAAGGAAGGAAGGAAGGAAGGAAGGAAGGAAGGGGGCGTCGGGCTTAGAGCGCGGGAAGGAAGCCAGGCATTCAGGCAGGCAAGCAGCGTGGGCCTTGCCTCATGTCCCCGGGTTCGCTTCGCAGATGATTCCATAGGAACTCTTGGAACCAGAGAACGAGTGATTTCACAAAGCGCCGGTCCAGGCTTAAGGGTGTCTTTCGCGCGCTTCGGGGAGAGTTTGTTGCCGCTTGGAACCAGCTTCGAACTGCATTCCATGGTCAGTGTAGACGCGGCCAAAGGTGGTCCTGGCGAGTGGAAAGATCCAATCCGATCTAGCATAGTCTACCAAGGCACAAACTGCAAATTTGGTCCCAGACATGTGCTGTTTAGAATCTGAGATCGTCATCTCCTGTGGTGGGCCCTTCCTTCCACACAGCCATAAAATCCAGAATATCAACACAGAAAACCCCACAATATCTGCTTTGAACTGGGTTATCTGAGTCCACACTGCCAAATATTCCAATTCAAAGAAGAAAATGTGGGATTTTATTCAGCTGTGTGGAAGGGCCCCCAGTATCAAATCCCAGGTTTTTTGTTTATCCCAGATTATCTGACAGTGGGCACTTAGGCTCTTTCCACACAGCTTGATAAAATCCCACGTTATCTGCTTTGAATATATGACAGATAAACCAGGGCTCTTCCACACAGTGATATGACCCAGAATATCAAGGTAGAAAATTCCACAATATTTGTTTTGAACTGGGTTATCTGAGACAACACTGCCATATATTCCAGTTCAAAGCAGATAATGTGGGATTTTATTCATCTGTGTTGACGGGGTCGTAGGGCCCTTCCACAGTCCTATATCCCAGAATTTCAAGGTGGGAAATCGCACAATAACTGCTTTGAACTGGGTTATCTGAGTCCATACTGCCATATATTCCAGTTCAAAGCAGATAATGTGGGATTTTATTCATCTGTGTTGAAGGGGCCCCAGGGCCCTCCCACACAGTCCTATATCCCAGAATATCAAGGCAGAAAATCCCATAATATCTGCGTTGAACTGGGTTATCTGAGTCCACACTCAGATAATGTGGGATTTTCTGCCTTCATATTCTGGGAGATGGAGCTGTGTGGATTTTCTGCCTTGATATTCTGAGTTATATGTCTGGGTAGAAGGGCTGTCATATAATCCAGGTTAAAGCAGAAAAATACCTTGGATTAGATCCTTGGATATAGGGCCTATCTGGAAGGGCCCTGAGTCTACAGTGCTATCTATATAATGCAGTTCAGTGTGAATTTTATACAGCTGTGTGGAAGGGGCTGATATCACTCAGAGGTGAAGAATATACTTTGGAACTTACTAGGTTCCTTATTTGTACCATATATTTAGCAACAACAATACATTTTTATTTATTACTAGCACAATATAGTTAAAACCCATCCATAAAAGCACACATTAAAATACACTTAGTAAAATACATGAAACAAACGTTAAAATACAATCAACATAGAATGTGAATTTAGAATTCGTAGTTGAAACGGACAAGACAGCACCAAAGCTGGTCCGGGGTGGCGGGGCAAAGATGCCCCAGTTTCTTTTTGTCCATGGCCTTGGTGAGTGGGACTTGGGATACCTATTAACTGGGAAGTCAAAGGCAGTTGTGCTCCTTTCCCATTTTTTGCCTTGACAAATGACAAACAGAAATACAGTGAGGAAATAGCCATCTTGGAGAGTCTGTTAGACTTATTTGTGTCAGGCTCAGGCTTATTGGACAGTCTGGCTATCTGAAAAGCAGGGAGTTCCTTGTTCAAGGGTGGTAGGAACTTGTTTCAAAGCAAGAGTTCATAAGCTATTTTAGTCTCACTGATGTGCATTCGGAAGTAAATTTCATGCACACATGATGGGATTAAGATTCACTAAACATCAGGGGAATGGCCTAAATTACCCTAAGGGTACCAGATTCCATGTGATCTTGGAAGCTATGCAGGCTCAGGCCTGATACATATTTGTATAGGATATCTTTAATAATTACCAGGTGCTGTAGGTCATTGCTTCTTAAACTGTGGGTTTTGATCCCAAATGGGGCCCCCTTAGCTCAGTGTTCGGGTCATGAGAAAAATTGGCAATTTGGTTTCTGAATGCCTCCCATTTACACAAATCTGTTAGTAATAACATGCAGAGTTTAAAGTTTGCAGGAAATTTTTCAGTTGTACTCCACAAAAGCAAAATCATCCTGTTTTATTTTTGTATCTATTTTATATATTATATATCTGTATACCTGGGGATCACAGAAAAATTTCTTAGGCGGAAAGGGGTCATGAGTGGGAAAAGTTTAAGAAGCCATGTTGTAGGCTATATTTCAGAGAAAAGAACTGGCCCAATCACTTCTGAGTGTTCTTTACCTTTTAAAAAAGCTATGAAATTTATGGAGTTTCCATAGGTCAACAAGTAAAGACATAAACACACAAGCATGGAATAATGCTACTAATGGGCTGATCTGTCACATGCCAGCCATAATGATGTGATAAGAGTCTTGACTTTTTAGATGGGGTTTGATCCCGTTTTGGATGTGGATGGACCCAAAAGGCTTTTTAGGTAGAAGCTAGCATACTATTTAATTTAACAGTAGTAGTTTATTATTATTGCCTTTTTTTGTTTATATGAGCCACTTTAGTGTTATTCAATAAAGAAAAGCAGTGTACATTTAAATATAATAATAATGTGGGAGCTAGGCTTGTGGATATCTCAGCTACTACGTTTTCATTTGTAGTGGGAAAACGTGTTTGGAAATGAAGTTTCACTACCTACAGTTCATGCAGATCATGCATTTCAGGTGCACATCTGCAACTATGCCCCAAGAAACTGGCTCAATTTTTACTTTATTTATGAGTTGATTATTTGATCTACTTTACAAAATATGTTTCAGATTACTAAAATGTGTGTGTCTTTTGAGGGGTCTTCTTGGAGTGGTGTTATTCCACACCTCATATGTTTATTAATCTGGGTTTTTCATTGTGTTTAAACTAAGAAGCTCATTAGAATAAACTAGGGTCTTGAATCAAAATGAAAATTGATTTTGATTCCTTGTTTGAGTCTGACCAGCCGTTCATACCTGTCCAAATCAAGAAACGGTCATGAGTGAGCAGTAAATGTTGAGCTGCATGAGGTTGGAAAGGGAGGACAAGAATTGGTCTGAGGATGGAACATGTGGGAGCTAGGCTTGTGTATATCTCAGCTACTACATTTTCATTTGTAGTAAGGGAAAATGTGTGATTTTAGTATGCTGGTTTGCTAGGCTTACAGAGATCTTGAATGTGGAGAGCTTCAAGCAACTGGGGAAAGTGTTCAATAGTAAGCAGCATTACAGTCTTAAATGGGATTAACTATACAATCCAATGAGGGTCTACACAGAAATAAGTCTTACTATGTACATTGGGACTCAATTCCATATAAAAATAAATGCAGTTTTAGCGTGTTGTTTGTCTTGTAGGGTAGTTGTTGAGAAAGAAATATTGCATTCCTGTGTTTGTGGTTGGGGAAACAAAGCTATAAAGAGATTTTTAAATAAAAAACATCATTACAGCTACCAACATAAAGATCTATTGTGGCAGTTTGAGCATTGAACACCAGGGTTCAAACCCCCACCTGGGCATGGAAACCCATTAGGTGATTTTTGGCATGTCACACTCTTCTACCTCAAAGGAAAGCAAAAGCCAACCTCCTCTGAACAGATCTTGCCAAGAAAACCCTTTCATAGGTTCACCTTAGGGTCATTGTAAGTCAGAAATGACTTGAAGGCACACAACAAAGCTACAAACATGCTGTGATTCCCAAGCCATGTGCAGAATTGATCAAAATTTCATAAAATTGATAAGATTTGACAGTGAGCAGAAGAATGTCAGTAGATCCCAATTGACAACCAGTATCGTACAATCTGACTGTTAAACATGGATATAAATGTTTAGTATCTTAAATTTAGTGAGTTAGACACATGAGTAAGAACTAAATACCAGATAGCATTATGTAGAGAAGCCTACAGTTAGCTTCGAGTCTAAAAATTGTGCTGTGAATGTGATGAATTATTGTGTAATATTTCTGTGAAATCATGTCAGCTTCTAGTTTGTGTTTTTTTTAAAAATATGCATATTCTTTCAGAGCTGTGGAATATCAGGCATGTATAATATATATTTTAAAAAATCAGTATTTTGAGTCTTAATTTCTTACTGTATGTCTTTGGCTGTCACTGTTCTAAAGGTTGAAAAGTGTTGATATAGAAGTTAGTTTGTGAAAGTTTTAACGGGCAAAAAAAAAAAGATAAAGCAAGAATACCAGTGTACATACTAGCATCAACTAATCCAATGAAAGCAATCATTATTGTTAAATACACTAAAACATAAGCTGTATATGTAAACAGGTTTAGAAAGTTGTGACATTGGAATGATCTTTCCATTTCGGTGACCAAACTTGCAGATCTATGCTTCCTGCTGAGTGTGTAGCTTGTGAGCAAGCATATTTGTTCTCTCCTTTTATTTGTTTTTCTGTTAAAGCATGCTCAGGAATGCAATCTGGAGGCATTTGTAGACATGGACCCATATCTACAATGGGGTTTGCTAAAGCAGAATCCCATTCTTTCCTAACTTAAACTTTATTGCATTGTTTACTGCTGATAGGATGTTGCAAACTAATATTGAAAGTCTGCATTTTTTCATCTCTTC